TAAAACATACATAAGAAGATATCACTTATATTTATATGTATGAAAATTTACTTGGTGCCGCAATATATATACATATATAGATATAGCCCTGTAGACAGAAACATATATATGTGTATATATATATATATATATATATATATATATATATATATGTAGCACTGCCGAGTGCCTCTATATCTACATGTGTATGTTCTATTTACGTAGATATAGACCAATCTGTATGAACCATTGCTGAGTGCCTGTATTAGGGCATGCACACAATGCCATTTTTTTAGATTTAAATCAGAACATTTCAAATCGAGTTGGTGCCATGGGTGTGTCATTGATGTATTGGTGCCATGGGTGTGTCATAGGTGTATTGGTGCCATGGGTGTGTCATAGGTGTATTGGTGCCATGGGTGTGTCATAGGTGTATTGGTGCCATGGGTGTGTCATAGGTGTATTGGTGCCATGGGTGTGTCATAGGTGTATTGGTGCCATGGGTGTGTCATAGGTGTATTGGTGCCATGGGTGTGTCATAGGTGTATTGGTGCCATGGGTGTGTCATGTGTGCCTTGGTGCCATGGGTGTGTCATAGGTGTCTTGGTGCCATGGGTGTCTTAGTGTCTTGGTGCCATGGGTGTCTTGGCGCCATGGGTGTCTTGGTGCCATGGGTGTCTTGGTGCCATGGGTTTCTTGGTGCCAAGGGTGTCTTGGTGCCAATGAGTGCCTTGGTGCCATGGTTGTCTTAGTGTCATGGTGCCATGGTTGTCTTAGTGTCATGGTGCCATGGGTGTCTTAGTGTTAAGGTGCCATAATTTTATTGGTGCCATGGATGTCTTGGTGCCATGGGTGTCTTGGTGCCATAATTTTAACAGTGCCATGCGTGTCTTGGTGCCACAATTTAATCAGTGCCATGGGTGTCTTGGTGCCATGGGTGTCTTGGTGCCATAATTTTATTAAAGTTATGGATGTCTTGGTGCGATAGATGTCTTGGTGCCATGGGTGTCTTGGTGCCATAATTTTATTAGTTCCATGGGTGCCTTGGTGCTATAATTTTATTAGTGCCATGGGTGTCTTGGTGTCATGGATGTTTTGGTGTTATGAAGCACTGCTGAGTGCCTCTATATCTACATGTGTATGTTCTATTTACGTAGATATAGACCAATCTGTATGAACCATTACTGAGTACCTGAATTAGAACATGCCCACAATGACATATTTTTAGATTTCAATCAGAACATTTTAAATCGATTGATGCCATAGGTGTGTCATAGGTGTATTGGTGCCATGGGTGTCTTAGTGTCATGGTGCCATGGGTGTCTTGGTGCCATGGGTGTCTTTGTGCCAATGGTTGTTTTGGTGCCATGAGTGCCTTGGTGCTATGGTTGTCTTAGTGTCATGGTGCCATGGGTGTCTTGGTGCCATAATTTTATTAGGGCCATGGATGTCTTGGTGCCATGGGTGTCTTAGTGTCATGGTGCCCTGGGTGTCTTGGTGCTATAATTTTATTAGGGCCATGGGTGTCTTGGTGCCCTGGGTGTCTTGGTGTNNGTTGTTTTGGTGCCTTGATGTCTTTGTTGCTATGGTTGTTTTAGTGTTATGGTGCCATGGGTGTCTTGGTGCCATAATTGTATTAGGGCCATGGATGTCTTGGTGCCATGGGTGTCTTAGTGTCATGGTGCCATGGGTGTCTTGGTGCCATAATTTTATTAGGGCCATGGATGTCTTGGTGCCATGGGTGTCTTGGTGCCAAGGGTGTCTTTGTGTCATGGGTGTCTGGATACCATGGGTGTCTTGGTGCCATGCGTGCCTTGGTGCCATGGATGTCTTGATGCTATAACTTTATTAGTGCCATGGGTGTCTTGGTGCCATGATTCTGTCATGGGTGTCTTTGTTCCATGTTTGTGTAATGTCCGTCTTGGTGCCAAGGGTGTGTCAAACGCGTGTTGGTGCCATGGGTGTGTCACAGGTGTCATGGGTGTCTTGGTGCCAAGGGTGTTCTAAAACCATTATTTGTAGATACATGGAAAAGTCTTCTGTCTTTGGGACTTTCTTTTGTGGGTAAAAAAATGATATCCTGATGTTAGCTTGGACGAAGTTAATAACATTATTTTTTTGGTGCTATTTATTTTTGCCTGGATATCAGATAAACTAGATTACTCAATAGATCCTTACTGTACTGGTTACGAATCGCGTCTAAACAGGACTTGTTACAAATAAAATTAAAAAGAACTGTACCAATGATCACCTTAAACGAATATATGCAGCCTACTTGAATGCGCATGTACCATTACAGAATGAATGAAAATCGACATTAAAAATAAGTATATTTTTGTATCGGTAATTGCTTAATGATTTTAAAAAAATCACACACTTAAATAAATATCGGTACTTGTAAATATGTTGGTTTTTTTAGGTTCTAAAAGCAAAAAAAAAAAAAAAAAAAAAAAAAAACCTTTAAGCTTAATTGCCTACACGAACTAATCTTTTATAGATGAAATGGCGGGAACTAACGTATGGTGCAGGCGACCTCCATCTGTCCACGTTAATTTTAAATAAGAACTTCTCGAAGTTCGTCCACTGAACATTGCCGTGAGCTCCACTACCATCAAGGACAATGGGGGAAATCCGCTCCACTCATTTGTCCGGTCAAACCTAAAGCTCTGGTCAAACCTAAAGCTCTGGTCAAACCTAAAGCCCTTGAGTTTCGCTCGATTAGTAAGTGACTTTCTGTGCAGCGGCATAGCTGTATGGTTAGCGTCACCAGGGGCTTGTCCAGAAGTCTGACTCCCGCATTCCACGAAAAACCTCTACTGCTAGCCGAAAACGCCACCCTTTCACATAAAGAAAAAATTGCCCCCCCCCCTTTTTTCTACGCCATCGCCTCTGTGACGATCTTCAAGCTTTATTGTAGATACTGAGTGTGTGCGGTCCCATGGATGTCAGAAGAAACGCCTCAAAGACACACTGAAAGCCTCACTGACATCACGGCACCAGCCTTCCGGATGTTCAAAGATTTCATGGTGGACGAGGCTAACAAAAAAATTCTGCAAGGCTTAAGAGTCAAGCCACAGAAAAGTCAGTGCCACCATGTTGAGATGTCCTCTTTTTGTGAAAAAAGACTGCCATGTTTAGATCAGCCATTTTGCGAATTTTTCTACTTCCGCTATGTACCTTAGAAGTAGAAACCCTTGCAGTAAACCTGCAGCAATAATTGCCATTCGCATGCTTTAAACAACACCAGATGTCAACACAGTAGCCGTTCACACACTTGGCAAGTCAACAACGTGACCTTTGCCCCCTATCCACACACACCAACATGCCGGTGCCTCACCTTCATTCAGCACAACCACGGCTTTTCCCGGCGTACTTACAAATCATTTTTCCGGTACAATATGAGTGTGTGTNAGCGTGTACACACGAACGTGGAGGAGCGTGTACACACGAACGTGGAGGAGCGTGTACACACGAACGTGGAGGAGCGTGTACACACGAACGTGGAGGAGCGTGTACACACGAACGTGGAGGAGCGTGTACACACGAACGTGGAGGAGCGTGTACACACGAACGTGGAGGAGCGTGTACACACGAACGTGGAGGAGCGTGTACACACGAACGTGGAGGAGCGTGTACACACGAACGTGGAGGAGCGTGTACACACGAACGTGGAGGAGCGTGTACACACGAACGTGGAGGAGCGTGTACACACGAACGTGGAGGAGCGTGTACACACGAACGTGGAGGAGCGTGTACACACGAACGTGGAGGAGCGTGTACACACGAACGTGGAGGAGCGTGTACACACGAACGTGGAGGAGCGTGTACACACGAACGTGGAGGAGCGTGTACACACGAACGTGGAGGAGCGTGTACACACGAACGTGGAGGAGCGTGTACACACGAACGTGGAGGAGCGTGTACACACGAACGTGGAGGAGCGTGTACACACGAACGTGGAGGAGCGTGTACACACGAACGTGGAGGAGCGTGTACACACGAACGTGGAGGAGCGTGTACACACGAACGTGGAGGAGCGTGTACACACGAACGTGGAGGAGCGTGTACACACGAACGTGGAGGAGCGTGTACACACGAACGTGGAGGAGCGTGTACACACGAACGTGGAGGAGCGTGTACACACGAACGTGGAGGAGCGTGTACACACGAACGTGGAGGAGCGTGTACACACGAACGTGGAGGAGCGTGTACACACGAACGTGGAGGAGCGTGTACACATATACCACTACATGAAAGGTGTGAGTGTATGGGGGCTGGAGGTCGAAGCCAGACGTTGCCCAGATGTGTATTTTCTAATGTATGTCACACCAATCGTTTCGTCCTGTTATGGTAATGTATTCCATACTCAGATTACATGAAGTTTTCCCGTAGGGAAAAAAAAAATTAGAAGAATTGAGACACATCGTCTTTTCCAGGTAATGTCGTTTGCACGCCAGGTGAAATTATATCCACTTTTTAATGTATACATACACACACATATATATATATAACTTACTAGTTAATGTACACCATCACCAAGCAATATGGGGGGTTGGGGGGGGTGCAATGCGTGAACTTCACATCTACTACCACTACAGGCACTTGACACACGATCCATTGAAGTGACGCACTTAAGAAGCCCTATTAGTATTAACGCCCCCCCCCCCCCCCCCCCCCCTTAACTTACTAGTTAATGTACACCATCACCAAGCAATAGGGGGGGTTGGGGGGGGTGCAATGCGTGAACTTCACATCTACTACCACTACAGGCACTTGACACACGATCCATTGAAGTGACGCACTTAAGAAGCCCTATTAGTATTAACGCCCCCCCCCCCCGCTCCCCCCTTGGTATGCCAACCGCACACTTTTTTTCTTTCACACCCGTTCACTATATTTATAATATTCTAATATGTCATTGACGTTCACAGAGCAGATTTATTTCCTCATATTTAAATTGAAACTATTTCCGTACAAGAAAAGAATAAATAAAACACTACGCACTTGCGGTATTTTTAAGTATCTCCTTTGGCGCAGTTATCGGGAATTTTAATTTGCACGCTACGCTACGGAACTCCCCATCACACCTTTACTTCCTGTCATATCCAGAGAAGTATTGATGATTGATTTTACAAAGAACAGGAACATAAATAGTTATCACATAAAAGAAACAAAAAAAAACTTTTACTTCCATATAATTTAGAATGACATTGAGGTGAGTTGTAGCGAGCATGGAATGTGTGTGAAACAAGAGCCACTTGGCAGATGGCATCTGACATGGTCACAATTTTAGCTAACAATGTATAATTAAAATCTGATGTCTGGAGAAGAAAAAAAAAATTAACAAGAACATTGAATGGATGAGGTCTTAAATTAACTGACATCTGGACAAGTGTCATTGTCTTGTCATAAGTCGAGTGTCACTGTCTTAATGCAAGTGTCTTCATTTTGAATGAATCTGTTTGACTTGACTAGCTTTAGCATCAAGAGAAGGGTCAAGGTTTTGGTGGCGTCTAAAAAATGTTCAAAGTAAAGTGCAGAATTTAATTTGTGAATTAGTTCAAGTAGCCAGGAAACTATTGAGGTCATGTCTGTTTACCAATTCATGAACTTTGAAGAAAGCTTTAGTTGGTGAAAAATAAAAAGGAATAAAGGGTAGGTGGGGTTGGGGGTAGGGTTGTAGAACTCACAAACTGGAACATGACTCAGCATAAAAATAATGTATTTAACAGTAAACTCTGAACATCTGAGTAAAATATGTTGTTTTTTTTTACAAAATAAATATATTTTCAAAACACATTTTCCACCACCTGCAAGTCTGTGAGTTCACGATGAACAGTTTAGGTTCATTTTGTTATACAGACATACAAGAACAAAAGGAGACAGACGTTGAACATTGATAAACTGGACAGTACCAAATATAGTTTTCTCAATGCAATACAACTTCAATGAAACACAGCAAGGGTTGCACAGTACCCCGATGAACTGTGGGCACACCAGCAACACACATGAATGCTGTACACCATCAGCAACAAGACATCAGACGCCATTATATTTTAACCTTCAATGCATATGTAGAGCCATCTCAAAACCATCTGAAATGTAAAACCATCTCAAAACCATCTGAAAAGTAGAACCATCTCAAAACCATCTGAAATGTAGAACCATCTCAAAACCATCTGAAATGTAGAACCATCTCAAAACCATCTGAAATGTAGAACCATCTCAAAACCATCTGAAATGTAGAGCCATCTCAAAACCATCTGAAATGGAGAACCATCTCAAAACCATCTGAAATGGAGCACCATCAGAAACTCATCTTAAATGTAGAACCATCTCAAGCCTAGAAACCAATTAAGGCACAAACCATACATCCCCAAAAAACAGGACCCCGGTCTAACAGATAGCTCTTGTTATCCCTACCACAGCAGAGCACTGGCTCCATGCCCGGACACCTTATGATACAATAACATTAAGAAATACTGAAACAACAATCAAATTGAATGCACCAAAAAGAGATTGCCCAGGGCACCCAAGCACTGCCTACACCCAGGTTAACTAAATAAATGATCATCTGTTTAGTTGATAACATGGTATTTACTTAACATATATATTCATTGGCTGAGTGTGGGGGGAAAGGTGGAAGGGGTGGGAGGGGGGTGCATGGCTACAGCATGAAAACAATCTTGGGTCTTAGGAGCATGTGATAAATGGTCCTCAAATTGTAGTACAATTTGTAGGGGTATTTAAATTTTTTTTTAAATTTCTTGGGTCACAGCAATTATATAATTATATAAGCTAACAGGCCATGACAATAAAACCTTTAGAAACTATAACTACAAATCCTTGTAGAAATATTCTTTCACTCCCCTTTTCACTGAATGTTTTTGAGCCTGAAAAATTTGACAGTGTTACATAAACAAATCAGTTAAAACTGAATCCATCATGTTGTCAATAGCTGGTCTTGCATACAACAGGCCAGGTGTGCTGTTCCAAACCAGGCGCTGACCAACAGCAGGTGATGAGACTATCATCAGAGCTGGTGCGCAGGTAACACTTTCCCAGAACAGGTACCAAATCCGACCCTGTAGCCGTTTCCCTCGCAGTAACCTGGGGATGTTAACCATGGCAATGAGAGGCTTCTGGGACAAGTAATGGCCTAAGTTAGACAGTTAACTATCATAGAGTCTGGGACAAGTTATGGACTTAGTTATTATAATTAACTATCACAGAGTCTGGGATAAGTTATGGACTTAGTTATTATAATTAACTATCACAGAGTCTGGGACAAGTTATGGACTTAGTTATTATAATTAACTATCACAGAGTCTGGGATAAGTTATGGACTTAGTTATTATAATTAACTATCATAGAGTCTGGGACAAGTTATGGACTTGGTTAGTGTATGACAGATTTTTGTCTCGTACTTGTCTACAAAAAAAAAAAAAAGAGCATGTGTCAAACAGCAAAGCAGACGACAAGAACATCACAGCTGACGACAAGAGCATCACAGCTGACGACAAGAGCATCACAGCTGACGACAAGAGCATCACAGCTGGGCAATTTCGTCACTGATTTCTTATTTTGGATGATAATATTTACTTCAACATAATCTTAACACAGATGTCTTCATTTAAACATATAGACATGATTATCTTCCTGTTTAATCCATAATGCTTAAAACAAAATTTTTTTTTTAAAAAAGGATTTAGCAAATTTATTTTTAAAAAAAAGGTATTTTAAATAATCAAAATTAAATTTTTGTAACGCGCTGAATCAACACAATTACCCGAATATGAAAAGAAGAGCAAATCAGGGGCAGGTCATTCAGACAACTCACCATGGAAGATAACCTCATCCCCATCCTGTAGGAATTTTCTAGTGATGCCGTTCCCAAGTTCCACAGTTCTTGTTCCTTTCCAGCACAACTCAAGCAGGGAACCCAGCGAGTCGTCAGTCTGACAAGGGGAAAAAAAATGGGGTGCTGTACTTGATGAAAGTCCCTCCAGCTGTTGGGGGGGGGGGGGGGTTTGTTTAAATGGCTTATACTTTCACCCGTGAGATTCTCATACACAGGAAACAAAGTAATCGAGGCTACTTACTTCCCCTGATATGGTCCCTGACCCCATCAAGTCCCCAGGTTTGATGTTACACCCAGACGATGTGTGGTGGACTAGCTGTTGTTTCATTGACCAGTACATGTACTAGAAGATAGACAAGACATAGTACTCAAAAGTACCACAAACCAATTTCAAATTTACTTCTTTAAAATCCTAAAGGTTTGTCAATACAGAACAAAAAACAGCATTTAAAGCCATTATTTATTTTTTTAAACATCTACAACCATTCAAAGCCTAATGATTGCAACATGAACAACTTAATCAGAACAAACAAAACTTACTTTGAAATTGGATCTAGTTATGACAGAGGGCTTAGTTAGGCCATCAACTGAAATTATGATGTGGGGGGGTGGGGGGGGTGGGGCGAGACGGCGCGAGGGACTATGCCTTACATTACAATGCTTGTGTTAAGGTAGAGTTTAACATGTAACCAGAGCGCTTGTTAAAAAAAGTATAAATTTAAGATCACTTTTGTGGACAAGGTTTTCAGAACAAAAAGTTCAAAAAGAACCAAAATAAAATTTGATAGGTATCCCTTTCTTCTTTTAGAGCTGTCAGGCACATTACAACTTGATACAAACAAGATTAGAACAAATACCAAGATGATACAACTAATGATCAAATTATCACAGATTTAATTCAGGCAAACCATCAAATTATGATAAGTAACACATCGTTTATGTCATGTCATTCCCATGACAGCACATCATTAATGTCATACCCATGACAGCACATCATTAATGTTAATGCCATACCCATGAGTGACACGTCCAGCTTGATGTCAAAATTATAGTCATCCTTATGTTGGAGATAGGGAAGTGGTTCTGGATCCTGGTAGATTAAGTTGAAAAATGTAACAACTAAGAGAAATGTAACAATGAAGAGACAATGTATGTAACAATGAAGAGACAACGTATGCAACAATGAAGAGACAACAAATGTAACAATGAAGAGACAACCTATGTAACAATGAAGAGACAACCTATATAACAATGAAGAGACAATGTAAGTGATTATTCCTTAATAGCTTCATGCATCCAAGGGTGGGCTGTCACAAAGTTGTGACATTGTGTGATTAAAGTATCTTATTAGCGTAACAAATTTGTGATGATTCAGGGAACGGTAGGGTGTAAAAATTGGACAAAATAGTGTGACGTCATTCATGGATTGTCCCTAAGTAACATTGAAGATAATTGAACCAATGAACAGTTGACAATCATCTCCCAATGCACCATAAGGACATGATGAGGTCAGCAGCACAAATTGGCTTTCTGAAATAATTACATTCTTGAAGAAGATCAGTGGTTCAAAATCTGTGTCTCGAAGGAGTAATTACTGGAAATAAAATAAGATAAAGGGTAGGCATAAGGGGCTACCCTGATGAAAATGTCAGAAAGGTTGAGAGTCCCTGACAAAGGCTTCTTTACTATATGTCATACTTTTGACCACTGCCTTTTGACAAAAGATGCATACAAGCAACAAACATTTTAAAAGTCCCAATTAGTGCCTTCCCCCCCCCTCCCCCGGCCACTCTGAAATGAATTTTTTTTTCTTCCCGCCCCTGAACTACATTAATATTTTAATGACCCGCCCCCTTTTACACTGCAGATTTATTTCACCAATATTTCAGAAAAACAAAAGAAAATATTACACAACACACCATTTGTGACAATTTTTAAAAAGAATCTCATTCAGCTCGGTTGTCAGGAATTTTATTTCGTGAAATTTGTGGCATCATTTAATATTTCCTTCATCTTCTCCTTGAAAAACAGGAAAAACTGACTTTTCGGGGTTGGTGCTGGGGGCGGAGCTGAAAATTTGAAAGAATGTGTTGTGGTTTCCAATGGGTCCATGTGCCAAGGTTCAGCTCGATAGATTGGATGGGAAGTGGGCCAATTAGGCGTCTGAAGATTTTGCTAGCCACGAACAAAAGAGAAGTTAATATAAAGTAACATTTTTCTGCCAACTATTTCAATACATCTCATTGGATTAACTAACACAAAAACATTCATAGAGAAAAAAAAACATCCCAGGTCAACAGCCCTAAAGACTCTCTTTGGCCAGACTTTGACTGACCTGCTTCATGTTGGGGACTTTAAATGGCTTGAGTGCATCCATGGTGACAACCCATGGTGAGATTGTGGTGCCCAGGTTTTTGGCAAGGAAGGGACCCAAGGGAACGTACTCCCATTTTTGGATGTCACGGGCTGCAGATAAATGAGAAAACATTTATCATTTTCATTGCTAAATTGATAGCTCTCTGAGTAAGGCATGATTTTTAACGTACCGTAATCTAGCTTGTCAAACAGTAGCAGATTTCTCATCATCTAATGGAATACAGTATAAAGTAATAACTATCTACAGCAGAGCTGTTCATAATGGAGTCAGCTAAAACACTCATTATTCATCAATATAGTGCAGGCCGTGCACAATAGAGATTAGACCTATATATCATCTTTCTTCAGTACATGGCATTATCAAACTTTAGTCAAACCGAAGAAATGAGTATTAAGTGGCGGGCACATAACCACCAAAAACTATACCATGATTGTGACCAATGTTCCCTTTAAGCTGCGCAGCTATCTCACAGACGCCGCGCAGCAGTTTTGAGTACCCCGCAGCAAATTTCCATGTAAGTGAGTGGGCTGTAAAATTTTGCTCACAAAAAAATTGAAGCTGTAAAACTTTGCACACAACTGTATGATTTTTCACACGAACCAACAAACCTTAGAGGGAACATTGATTGTGACTAGACCACTCACGACTCTATTTAGTCAATAAAAAAAAATGATTGTGTCTGGACTACTCACCACTCCAATCATTCATTAAAACCATGCCAAAAATGTGATCTTCTACCTCTTCCATGGAGATGGGGTACCCTAAAGTTGTGGAAGGACCAGTGAAGAAAGCGGTCTCCAGCTCAAAGTCCAGCAGACGACATGGCCCAAATACAGGAGGTTTAGCTGACAATAGAAAAAAAAATAATAAGTTATGTGACTAAATCAATCATCATGTCAGTGGTAGACGCATTGTACACACAAACAATAAGAAGTAAAACCGCAATTCCGCAGGGCAAACAAAATTTCACATGTTACTTTTTAATGTATAACTGTTTCATATCTGCCAGCAGTAAAAAATAATACTCATAAATCTTCAGCACTGAGAGAAGTTAAAATAAGCATGTCAAGGTCAAAAGTTTTCTGCAGGGAAATCTTTTTTACTATATATATGGCATACGTTTATCCAAAGGTTAAAAATCTATATTAAATCTGCATGACAAATGGTTAAAAATCTCTATTAAATCTGTATTACATTCCATATTAAATCTTTATTAAATATATATTAAATCTACATTAAACCAATATTACAATCTATGAAATTTATTTTACAAGTGGGAGAAATTAGAGTCATGCTTCACTCACTCTCATCCGGGGATGTCTGCCCATTGGGTCGGCAAATGGGTGTGCCAGATACAACCACTGAAGAAGCTCTGCCATGGTATCCAACTGGCAAATGAACCCTGGAATTTCAAAATCATTCATTGATCTTAAGTTTCTTGGACGACAATGATGTCATGATTATTAAAATTAGCTTTTTTTTTTTTTTTAAATTTATATCTGGTATATGTACAAAAAGTTAAGCTGCATGAACTGCACTTGGAAATTTGTAACTTTTCTCATTGCAACCTGTAACAACCTTATTAATTAAGAGCATTTGGCCTCAGTTCAGTAGTTAGAGGCGTCAAAAGTGTTTGAACAATAGAATCAGTAGGTGTCAGAAGAGTTCCAGCAATAAAAGTCTAACTATTAGTTAGAGAGTTTCAACTACAAGGGCGGTGATATTTTACCAGTTTGGATTGAGAGCAGTCTTTGGGTCACGGAACATGCAGCCGACATTGTAGGCATGGTTTTTAGATGAGTAGAAATCCGTGTAGTCCCCTGGTGTACAAGTACAGAGACATGAATTAAAGATGATCAAGCTTAGATATTATAAGACGCAGAGAAGAAAACATTAATTTGCTTAAAACTTGTAGATGCTTAAACTAGGGATTACCATACTTTAAATGCCATATTTTAATCATTTTTAAATTATTTTTTTTTAAATCAATAAAAAAAGAGCAGACAATTACAGTTGTCTGTACTTCAATTACAAATATTATTATTATATTTTTAAACTCATACAGCTACATCTTAAAATTTTGATGTAACAAATCCCAAGTAATTATTATCTAAATCTAAATATCACCAATTAAAACTTCCAGTAACCATGTTAATGAGATACATGACATCAGCACACAACCAATGCAAATTTAACTTAGAATCATTTTGTGTGCTGGCGTTTCTCTCCTTTCTTTTAAACCATTTGAATTTCTACATGTTGTGCTGTAGGATCCTTCATTCAATTATTTTTCTGTCATGAAAATTCATTCTACTTGTTGGCGCTTGTGCGTCTTTTCATCTGTTTTAGTTTTATCTAAAGTCCAACCCTTTTCAATTGACTTGGTTGTCTCTGAAAACAACCAATTTTTTTTTTCCTTCAACATAGACACTCCCATGCCTCTTTTTTTGATTTGATGTAGATGTCACCAATCAAGTGTGTAGCTCTGTACCGTCCCCACCCCTTCCACGAGTGGTCGGGTTATAAAAGAAATTTATCAGGTAACGCAATTGCTGGAATTTTTTATCAGGAGGGTTCTAATTTACTACCAACAGCTTTCCTAGCCAGGGTAGATCTTTGCAATTTTTCCTAGACATTTGTGACATGTAATATTTTACCAGATTGTACTTTTTATGAGTGTGTGCAATTGAAGATTTGTATCTTTCCGGGATTTTTCTTCATCACTTGCTATGCTATAAGTTGATATAGTTTTAATTTCTGTCCATTTGATTTTGTATTCTTTATAAAAATTTAATAGTAAAATTAAATATTGTTAATGTCCCTAGCTTTGGTATAGTTTTTCTTTTTATACTGCAGACCTGTTTACCCTCAAACACTTAAAATCGTACAATATCATCACAAAATCGTTCAATACATTATCTTAATAAAATAAACATACAGTATATATGATATACACCTCAAAATCGTACATTGTATGTCAAAACCGTAAGTGTAAACAGGTCTGATACTGGTTTTCAGTCCTTTGCTATGTATTGTTCAACAAAAGAGCTAAATCTTAAACCAAAACAAAGCTCCAAAAACCATACAATAATGGTATATAACAGTATGTAAACATTGTTGAACCTGATGTCCACTATAACATAACTAATCTGATGACTGTTTTGTGACCAAACTCACCAATGGCTGCAGGTAGGAGCATCTTTACTTGATTTTGTGGAAGAAGAGCTCTGAAAAAGTTTCAAAAATTTAATTTAGATCAATAATAAAGACGTGGAAATTCCCTAGGTGCAGTTCAATAGAAAAGTCTTCTTGAACAGCTTTCCAAAAAGTTTTAAGTTTGGCGGACCAGTGGACAAGTTTCAAAATTTCTCCTGTGCCAGATTTATTAATTATATTTTCTTTTTTTTTTCTTTTTTACTGATACCATAAATATTCATGCTGCGTGGACCAGCAATGTAAGGCTTGCAGACTGTTGCCAGTCCGAGGACCACCATTTGGGAACGTTGATCTGGAATATATGGAGCTGAGCTAAGCATAACTTAATTATTTTTATTACAACGAGCAAAAAATAAAATTTATGGAAGTGACATTACATAAATATAGAGACATAACAGACCTTAATCTCAGCTCTGCATTGTCCTTCAGACATGGCTCAGAATCAGACAGAATTTTCTGCAAGGTCTGTCTGGCTTCACTCCAGGCAGCCCTACCAAGGCCCATGAAACCATTAAGTGTGGACTGAAGGAAAATATAGAGAAAATTCGAAGTTAAGAAAACTCTATTAAATAACTTTCAATGATTTTCTGCAGTATCAGTACAATGTCAGTATCAATACTATGTCATTATCGGTACTATGTCAATATCAGTAAAATGTTATGAAAGAAATGATTCAATAATAACTCTTAACGAAAAAAATGGCTTCAGCTGTTGGATTCATACCTGTTCAAAAACATGTTGAGAGCCCCTCAAGACTGGACCATCAAACAAATGTTTGACCTCAGTAAGATCTAAAACACTATCTCCAATGGCAACACCTAATCTTGGCTTGGGCTGAAGTCAAAGCAGATGTTAGGAGGTCAATGATAATGGTCTTTGTACACACTTCCTAAACACTTTGAGACAAAATTTTAAGCAAAGGGTTTTCAAAATTTCTGAATGTTGTACAACTTTTTAAAAACATCTGTGAAAATGCATGTCTATCACATGTACTACTCATAGTTTGAGAATTGAATATGGGAAAGTGACAGCTTTTTGTTTCTATGAAATATTCATCAATAGTGGAATAGATATGTTTAGGCTTGAAAAAATAAGACAGGACGATCACTTGGACATTTTAGCTAAACACCTAATTATATTAAATATAATTTATTCTTTTAAAAACTATCCATCCATTATAGAATGCGTTGCTACCATTTTGCATGGTGGCATCAACGTGAAACCCTTTAACTTTATTTTGTAGTTCTGCAGTTGCTAGGAAACAATTATCATTTAATTTTTAGATTGGCATGCACATATTAAACTAAAACAAATAGTCATTTCATATTCTAAGGTTGATCCAAGTTATACTTTTCGGGTCAAATTTATTACATTATATCCTTGAAAAAGGAAATGAGGTTCATGGGACAGACACTCTCATCTACAAAGAAATCCACATAACAAGAGGCAATGGGATCTAATTCATGAGGAAAAAATTGTGGGCTTCTGAATTATGATTTTTGTTTGATTATTAGTAATGACCCCTGCACAAAAATCATATTGATGCAAAAAAAATGTGTACTATTGTGACATCATACAAGCATTATATGATTAGGACTGAATTCATGTTGAAGAAATATTGGCAATATGTTTTATGAAATATAAAAAGCAACTTGAGTCAAAAGTTGGTAAGGTTGCAAAATGTTTATTTGTAAAATGTTCTCTAGTCTCTAGTAAATGGTTAAGTTAATAAAATAACTAACTATTGACTGAAAATTTTAAAAAATTCTTAGTGTTTGAAGTTTGATGCATCAGTTTTTTGGTTTACCTTCAAGAACTGGCATTGTTAGTCTAATCAATAAGATATGAAATATGATAATAGCTAGACTCTATACTATGTCATATAGTATGAAAATAAAAGATAATTGTTGCTAGCCTAGCACTTTGTTATTTAAATGTCATTCATAATAAATGACAAATAAATTAATTATGACAAATCGACCTAATTATTAATATAAAAGTGAGTTTAATAATCTGCTGATGGTTAAGTATAGTATAATAGTATTATTAGTATACTGTATACTATATTATTATTATTGTAAAGTCTAGCATAGGCTAATGATAATAAAAGTTTAAGTAAATAATTTTTAAAGTCTGTTACTGTTACTATTATTCTAAGTCATAGTATTGGCCATGGCTATGCTATGCTATAGCTACAGGCATATGCTATAGTATACTAGTATAGTCCATAGTCTATTACTAAGTATTACTATTATATTATTACATTACAATTACAGTAGCATATTCATAATTTTTAAAAAATTATTTATTATAATATTATTATTTATTAATATCTAATAATATAATTAAAATATAGTAGTTAGTAGTATTGATTGATGAAAAATTGACATATTCCTAAAACTAAAATATATGCACAGTACTAAGTAAGGTTATTTTTTAGCCTTGAATATTTAAAGCCTAAAGCTTGATCTTTTTATGAGCATAATAGTATAAAAATGAAAAGTTCCAAATGTTTATTTTCCACTTCTTACCGACACACACGTGTGATGGGGGTGTGACGTTTAGGACATTTTCTGATAGGCTATGTCTAAGGTTACGAATAGGCCTTGACCTAGTTTTAAAAGACCAGACCATGACACGTAAAAAGTATTTACTTGTAAAAAAGAAAAACAAGTTAGTTAAAGAAAACTTTAAAATACTTGCATTATCTGCCGTCGAAAATACACCATAAGGTAGATTTTGAATAGGAAAATCGCTGTCGGGTGCAACAGAAACAAAAGACATTTTGCAAACTAATGTGGGAAGAATTTTAAATCGAAAAGGAATAATACAGCGTACATAAGAAATAGAAAGTGCCGGTAATGTCATTACCAGATATTTTACCTCAGATTTTAAATATTAAAATTCATATAAATAAAAATTGGTAAGACAAAGCGTTACTTGAAACGAAAGAACAGTAATATTTAAAAATAAAATATGTTTGCATCTCCAAAAAATTCATATAATGCCTATAGTGGCTTCTATATTTTTTAGCCGTACCATTTACCGTATAGGTAAATTATATAATATTTGCAGCCAATTTGGCATTCTCAGCTCTTCAATTTAAAAAAATAATAAAATTGTATGTTGAATAAAATTCGTATTTTTTTGTGAAGAAAATCTATTTAAAAAAAATAAATAAAATATTTAAAAACCTGACTTTTCTTATTTAATGCTGTTCAATTTGCTTTTTTTTTTTAATGTCATAAATGAAGACAGGTTTCAAACTACACGTTTAATTAGTTATTATGGTGAATGGGAGATGAGTGTGTAAAGAAGATAACTGAAAATGTAATAATTGTTGTTATTTCCCTTCTGTTATAGGAGCAGTCACTCAATGGTGATTCAGTGTCAGCTATGCCCCAGTTATGGTAATCTATTTATTATGAAAAATATATGCATCACATTTTAAGTTTACTTCAGCAAGAAATTTAGGATTAATGTCAGGAAAAGTGGAGAATCATTTTCTACAAAGTAAATGAACGGACATCCTAAAGTCTCAAGTCCTAAAGACTTTTATACAATGTCAAATAATACATTTTTTTAAAACGAAATTTAAATTTACGGTCAGTTGTGTTCCCGGCATTTCATGCTTCATTTTAATTTGAATTAGAGTCATTTTTACATATGCTCTACAAACATTGTCATACTCATAAGGCTATGTGTAATATTGTTTAGCTTCATAGATTTCTGTGGAACTCTCCACAGCATCAGGTAAATTAAATTGTTTTAGCTTTTGTTTTAATGTAATCTTCGTGCTGGCTTTTCGTCGGCACGTCCATTGTTTCGTGTTGTATTTCTTCAGGTATCCGTATAATCAATTTAAAAAAAAAAAATTGTGCTAATGTTTTGATAGATTCAAGGCGGTTATTAAAAAAAAATGTTTGCAAGGGGGTTTGTTATTTTTTGTTGGGTTTTTTTGGCGCGGGGGTGGGGGGGGTGGGGGGATGAGCAAAACCAACTTTGCCGGCTTGTTGAGTTTATAACTGGAGGCTATTTAATAAAACCTGAAAATTCAGGGGTGGGGGCAAATTCCACCCTCTGCCCTACCCAAATGATGTCCCCGCTCCCATTATTTGGCAACCCTAGCACCAACTCAATCTCATTCTGTTGCACCAATCAACGCACTCTCATTCTGTTGCACTAATCAACGCACTCTCATTCTGTTGCACTAATCAACGCACTCTCATTCTGTTGCACTAATCAACGCACTCTCATTCTGTTGCACTAATCAACGCACTCTCATTCTGTTGCACTAATCAACGCACTCTCATTCTGTTGCACTAATCAACGCACTCTCATTCTGTTGCACTAATCAACGCACTCTCATTCTGTTGCACTAATCAACGCACTCTCATTCTGTTGCACTAATCAACGCACTCTCATTCTGTTGCACTAATCAACGCACTCTCATTCTGTTGCACTAATCAACGCACTCTCATTCTGTTGCACTAATCAACGCACTCTCATTCTGTTGCACTAATCAACGCACTCTCATTCTGTTGCACTAATCAACGCACTCTCATTCTGTTGCACTAATCAACGCACTCTCATTCTGTTGCACTAATCAACGCACTCTCATTCTGTTGCACTAATCAACGCACTCTCATTCTGTTGCACTAATCAACGCACTCTCATTCTGTTGCACTAATCAACGCACTCTCATTCNAATGCCCCCTTAGGGGGACGGCCCCTTCAACCCCACCACCCCCCCCCCCCCACGTAGCCTACTCCACCGTGGGAAGTTAAAATCTCGAGTGCCTGGGGGGGGGGGGCTCATAAGGTCTTAATCCGGTACTGCACGACACACATTTGGGCGACTGACAAGTGAAACGAAAAATCCTCGTCATTTGAAGCGATTTGTGTTTCCCCATTTAGACCCAACTATTCAGGTCCACCCAATTATAGCTCTACAGCTGTGTACCCCAACCTTATCCCCATTTAGACCCAACTATTCAGGTCCACCCAATTCTAGCTCTACAGCTGTGTACCCCAACCTTATCCCCATTTAGACCCAACTATTCAGGTCCACCCAATTCTAGCTCTACAGCTGTGTACCCCAACCGTATTTGTGCCATGCCCCTCCTAAGCCTTTCTAAAATTCGTATGCCTCCCCTATGTATCATATACTTAAATTTTAATATTAAAAACTAGGATTGTTCACTGAAGACACTTAAAAAGGATAGGGTTTAGGAAGAAATCACTAGGAAATGGGTGAGGAAACATAATAAGAAAATATTCAAAACATATAATGGAGACCTGAAAACTCAGGTACGAAATAATTTTAATGAAAGATTGTTATCTATTATTTTAATTATTAGTAATTATTTATTTGCTTGCTGCAAAGAGATTTTATGTTAGGGTACAAGTTAGTTAGCTTCGGTGTCAAGTCTCCCCATTGTATTATATGCAGCCAAGTTCTTTTTTTTTTTTTTTTTTTTTTTTTTTTTTTTTTTTTTTTTTTTTTTTTTTTTTTTTTGTTTGTGTTTGGGTAATTTTTTTTTTTTTTTATTTTTTTTTTTTTTTGGGTTTTTTTTTTTTTTTTTTTTTTAATTCTTTTCTTTTTTTTTTTTTTTTTTTTTTTTTTTTTTTTTGGGGGGGAGGGGAGGTTTGAATCACAAAAGGGCTGAACAGAGTAGAGTATAATGTCAATTGATTGGGTCATTGAGGAAGCAGACGCATTTGACATTTTCCGTCGTGATGTTTTACAAAAGGCTGATTCAAACTCGGAGTTTTGATATAAATATTTAGCGTGGAATTGGGAGGGAATCGGAAAGAGAGAGAGAGAGAGAGAAAGGGATAGAGAGAGTGCAGAGAGAGAGTGAGATAGGGCAAAGAGGGGGGGAGAAAGAGAGAGAGAGAGAGAGTTAGAGAGAGACAGGGGAAGAGAGGGAGAGGGAGAAAGAGAGAGAGAGAAGGAGAGAGAGAGATAAACCAAAAATGCCACCTTAGGCGGACGGCCACTTCAACACCACCACCCCCCCCCCCCCACGTAGCCTACTCCACCGTGGGAAGTTAAAATCTCGAGTGCCTGGGGGGGGGGGGCTCATAAGGTCTTAATCCGGTACTGCACGACACACATTTGGGCGACTGACAAGTGAAACGAAAAATCCTCGTCATTTGAAGCGATTTGTGTTTCCCCATTTAGACCNAGTTCTTTTTTTTTTTTTTTTTTTTTTTTTTTTTTTTTTTTTTTTTTTTTTTTTTTTTTTTTTTTGGGGTTGTTTGGTGTAAATTTTTTTTTTTTTTATTTTGTTTTGGTTTGGATTTTTTTTTTTTTTTTTTTTTTTTTTTTTTTTTTTTTTTTTTTTTTTTTTTTTTTTTTTGTTTTGTTTTTGTTTTTTTGTTTTAGAGGATGGATACGGTAACAATCGTTTTCTTTCACATCTGGTTGAGTTTGGACATTTGATTATTATTTCCTCACAAAACCATGCCATTTGCTCCTTTTGTATTAAATAAATTTTAATTGACTCATCATTTTGCTTTTCTGCGAGTTCTTGATACTGCATATTTGAATAATATCAGACAACTCCACTAAGATAAGCTGCATCACCCAAGTTGGAAAATCAATTTGTTTCAGTTCAGAAATCTTTCTTTTTTATTCAGCCGATAGAATTTTCAGATGGTCGACGATAGCAAGTATAGCGGTATCAGTCACTTCACATTTTTGGAGCCATTGAAACTTTTCAAAATTTTTGTTGTAAATAATTTTCTACCACAACTGAATAAAAGTAATTAAAAAAAAATATCTTCGCTTTTTGCATCGACACGAGTTTTATTTGCTCCTTGAAGTTGGTTATGTAATATATGTGTTTGTTTTTTTCAAAGATATCGGCTATATAACTCACTCATGCTTTGCCATCCACCGTTAACACAGATACTTGTTTTCCCCAGGGTTTGTCACTTTCAGAAATCGCAAGAGTATCAAACAGTTTCATAAATCTTTTCAAGCGATTCCCCTTCGAAAGCCATATCACTTCAGCATTTCTGGATTCTCATCTGTCATCTATTTTAAGCAGCTATTTATCTTGCCCATCACATTAGGCGCACCATCTGCAGCGCAAGGATGCTCTATTCTTCATTGGTACATTATTGACATCTATGTATTGTTTTAGCTAATGATATATATCTATATCTATCTTTGTCGGTAGTGGCGCTTTCAAATGATTGACAGAGCAACATTTCCTCAGCGAAATCTCCCTTTTCAATATATCTGACGTAAGTTTTCAATACAGCATCCATGGGCGCCCGCAGGTAGGGACAAGGTGGGGCACTTGCCCCCCCCCCCTGGATTGATTGGATAAAAAAATTTTAGACAAAAATAGACAAAAAATGTATTAAAGTAAAGAGAAAATAAAGAGAAAGTAACTAAGCTGATGTTCTGTCCGTTCGAACACCATACACATACGCTACAGTAAATTAAAACATAATAAAACCATTCCTAAAAATTTTTTTCCCCCCCCCCTGGAAAGTTAATCAATTTTTTTTTGTCCCCCCCCCCCTAGAAAGTTTTCTGCGGGCGCCCATGACAGCATCTCTTCCTCTCAAAGTTGATTCATCCATTAGAGACTTCAAAATTTCTCTTTAACGTTTCAAAGTACTATAAATCTGAATTGATGTGAGCACAATCATAGTAGACGGTTGGTTTTCAAATTCTACACAGCTCATTTTTCGATTTGCCCCTCTAAACAATCAAGTGTTCCCCCCTCTGGGGCGTGGGCCCCACGTTGGGAAAAATAACTCTATAGCTTTACACGAAGCATATCAGCGTAGCCTCTTCTTGTTTTTTTTTATATTCCATTAATGTAAAATTAACATGGACTCTTTAA